GCAGCTTTTTTATACAGCTAAATGGGTTTAGTTTTTTTTTTAAGTACAAAAAAAAAAAAAAATCTTAATTAAATCCTAAAATTCTAAAATGCATAGGAAACATGTTGAAGAAAAATGAATCCATAAAGAAAATTATTATTCAAAGATATGTGTAGTTATTGTTACATAAATTACCCAATTGTTTATGATTTCAGCCTTTACTATAATTTCCCATTTCTATTTCCTCATGAAGCCAGATTAAATTAAAATTAAATTGTATAATCTTTGACCACTAGTGTACATTTTTAGTTTGAATTTGACTGTTCTGGTTTAATTATGTCACCATAAGCTGTAATTGATTTTCTTAGCATCAGAACATGCCTTTATGTTCTAAGCTCTTTTTAAATAAGAGGTTCATTTAAACCTTCTTGTAATATTATTGTAGTTAATTTCAGACATAGCGATAATATGCTTCATGCCTGTCGGGAGTTTTGGACTATTTAACTTTTACCAGATCAATTAAACCCTCATAGGTACATTGTGGAAAGTTTGACAGTTAGGAGATAAAACAGGCAGAAACTAATGAGAACGTTGTTTTGTGTATTGAGACAAATTTCTAATTGTTAGTAAAGATGCTTAAGGAGAAGGAAATCAATATAAATTAGCCAAAATGTCTGGGCAGGCCTTCAAGTTAAAAAGATGCATAATTATTTTTTTTGAGTTTTGTTGCTACAAAATATAAATGTTTAATGTGTAATTATCTTAATATTGTTTAAAAATGAATGTCATAAATTACACGTATTTTAAACTGTGAAATTTTATTAGATTGTGATATTAATAGGGTTTTTTTTTAACAAATATTGTTTAAAAATAAATTTAATTTGATAGTGTTCATGTAAATCTATATGACTAAGGTTATCTAATACCTAATTTAATTACTTATAACTAAGTGACCCTTGGAAATTATCATCTTCATATTAAAGCGAGTTATTGCCTTTCATTAACCTTTACAGTGGTCACAGGGTTAAAAGGCAATAATCTAGTGCTTTAGTGGCTTAATTTAACCTTAAAGTATATTAACTGAGTTACAACTCCTGAAACTCTACGCGAAGCTACGACACTAACTGCATCAGACACAGCTCAGCTAACTTTCAAAACTTACTAACTGTGCTTACATCAGGCCTTTCAGGTTTGTTCTGATCAGCAGGTCTTTCTCTGGGCAAGCAGGAGCAGTGACAACAGCCAGTCTGTTGTTATGAATCATGCTGATTATGATTTTATTGCTCATTTTAACCAATGCTGCTTGACATAAAATCTACTTACTATTACTAAACCTTTTAGACTGAGCAAGTATGTGACAAAATGAGACATTAAAATAAAAAAAAAAAAAGCTGTTAATAAAACGTAACTTAAATGTCACTTATCTTCTTTCAAATATGTCCAGTTATTATAAGTGTAAAATATTTTAATGCTACTTGATAATTTTCATAATATTTTATTTTATTCTAAAGTATAATAATATTTAATTAAGCTATGTTTAATATAATGCATTCTACTTACGGATCTCTTTTATTTTTAGGATGGTGTTAAAATGTGAAGTTCAGGAATAGATATAATATTTTTAATTGAATTTATTTAGTTCCCATTTTCTATAGATATTGCGCTCTTGCCAGCCTAACAAATAAGTATCAAAGTATCTGCCCTCAGTAGTTGTTGCTAGCCCTTAGGTCTGTGTGAGTTCCAAGTACTGTCTCTAGTTTAAATTTTGTTCTGTAGCTGCGCTTTGTTTAACGTTTGTTAACTACTCATTGTACTGTGAGATTCATTGGATGACTTTCTGGAAATTTGCAGTACTCTGAAGTGTTTCTTTTAATAAAGTTAATTTTATCAATCTAACATTGGACCGGTGTGCATTCAGTCTATTACCAACCGTACACATGTACAATATTATAATGAAATATTTAAAAATACAGAATATTTTATCTGAAATTTTGAAATGTGTGTTTCTTTTTCAGCAATCTGACCAGAATTCAAAGGAATGTAGCTGAAAAGCAACGGAGAGATAAACTGAATGGCTACATAAGTGAGCTTGCCAATATAGTGCCAATGGTCTCAATGTCTTCTAAACGGCTGGACAAAACCAGTATTTTACGATTGAGTGCTGCTCATTTGCGACTTGTCAAAAGTATGTATAAACTCTATAAGCAGTATTCTTTGAAGAAATGTTAAATTAACGTTATCTAGCTAATTTGTATTCTTAACATTTAGGGGGGAAAACAACTTTTATTGAATCAATAATTTAGTTCTTGTGCATTGTGATTTCAGTATAAATGCACTTGTGCTAGGGCAGATATTTTACAATGTTTAAGCCACTTTGAGAAATAGCTCTGCAGTTTGATTTTTCTCTCCTCTCTTAGCTAAACTGCAATTGGTAAGATAAACTTTTTTTGTACTCATGAGGGTTTCTGAAAAGAGTTGAAATTATGAGTGTAAGCAAGTTAAGTCCAAAGTCGTGAGTTTAAATCCTATTTTTCCTAAAGCAACCAATTCTTTTCGGTAGACAACTAACTTCATTGATTTCTTTGATAGCAAAATATTACTGAATACATTTTTTTTTTTTTTTAATGGCATGATGGAAATGGATTGATTTCCGAATAAAGCCATAAGAACATTTGTAACCTTTTTCGTTTAGATTTTTGCTTGTCTTAGTTCAAAAATTAAATCAACTTCTTAATTAAAAAAAAACAGTCAAATGTGGATTTAACCAGTTATTCGGAGTTAATGATAAAATTCCATAAACTAAATATAAAACTGGGTGTCAAAGATAAAAAGGGTGCACCGCAACACACCCCCCCCCAGCGGGAATCTTGCCATATAGAGGCAATGATTATTTCTACCTACTGAAATATTATAAATAATGTGCGACATGACTTTTGGGCTATTTGCTGTAAGGGTGTTTACACTGCCTTGAAATACATTGAAGTGACAAAAGTCATGGGATAGCAGTATGCAAATATACAGATGGCAGTAGTATCACGTAGAAAATGTATAAATGCAAAGTGCTTTGGCAGGGCCTTCCTTTGTGTTCAAGTTATTCATGTGAAGAGGCTTTGACGTGATTATGGCCGCACGACGAGAATTAACAGACTTTGAACGCGGAATGGTAGTTGGAGCTAGACGCATGGGTCATTCCATTTCGGATATCATTAGGGAATTCAACATTCCGAGATCCACAGTGTTAAGAGTGTGCCGAGAGTATCTAATTTCAGGCATAACATCCACCATGGACAGCGCAGTGGCCGACCACCTGCACTTAACGACCGAGACCGCGACGTCTGTGTAGAGTTGTCAATGTTCACAACAAGCAACACTGCATCAAAAAAACCGCAGAAATTAATGTGGGACTACGAGAGACGTTCCAATAGGACAGTGCGGTGAAATTTTGTCTTCCTTTTGCTATGCCAGCAGAAAACCGACTCGAGTGCCTTACTGACAGCACGCCATCGCCTGCAGCGACTCGTGGGCTCGTGAGCATATCAGTTGGTCCCTAACGAATGGAAAACCGTGGCTGGTCAGATGAGTCACGATTTCAGTTGGTAAGAGCTGATGGTAGGGGTTCGAGTGTGGCGCGACCCCCACGAAGCCATGGACCCAAGTGTCAACAGGCACTGTTCAAGCTGGTGGTGGTTCCATAATGGTCTGGGCTGTTTTTACATGGCATGGACTCGGTCCTCTGGTGCAACTGAACCGATCATTGACTGGAAATTGATACTTTCAGCTACTTGGAGATCACTTACAGCCATTCATGGACTTCACGTACTCAGACAACGATGGGATTTTTATGGATGACAGTGCGCCATGTCACCGTGCCACAATTGTTCGCGATTGGTTAGAAGAACATTCTGGACAGTTCCAGCAAATGATCTGGCCACCTAGATCGCCCAACATGAATCCCATCGAACATTTATGGGACATCATCGAAAGGTCAGTTCGTGCACAAAACCCTGCACCGTCAACACTTTCTCAATTATGGAGTCTATAGAGGCAGCATGGCTCAATATTCCTGCAGGGAACTTCCAAGGACTTGTTGAGTCCATGCCACGTCGAGTTGCTGCACTTCGCCGGGCAAAAGGAGGACCAACAAAATATTAGGAGGTATTCCATGACTTTTGTCACTTCAGTGTACTTGTCCTCTGCTTTTTGCTAGTTAATTTTTGAACAGATTACTGTGGTAATTTTGTAATGAGTTTTGAACAGGTAACCACAGTGATTTTCTAATGAGAATTGTTTAACACGCACAATACCAGTAAATCCATTGATTTTTTACCCTTAAAAGAGTCCTGTGAGGTGTCTCTGCAAACAATGTACGTAAGTTTTTAGCTTTGAAGTCATCTGATTCTTTATTTAGAGAAGGAGAGCAGGTTGGTCAGTCTTCTGACATGCCAGAATTCCTTATCACTGAATTTTTAACAATTTGAGGGCTATTTTTATAATGTTTGGGACCATTATCTTGAGAAAGTTTTGGAGTTTCCTTACTGACATTTCTACCTCTTATGTTTTTAGTTTCTTCATACAAATCCAATTTATCAGCAAGTTGAAGAATGTCAGTTCGCTTGGTCCAGTGATCCACAAAATGCTCTGTTTGGGATTTTTTAAAATTTGACTGAATATCATGAAACCCTTTAACTTCTCAAAAGTTTTGACTTTTAATTCTCCGATCCAGCCATCAATGAAATTTCTCAAATTGAAATAAAAATCTCACCATATACTATCAGGACTTTTGCGATACTGCGAAAATAACTGTCGGAACTTTTTAGTACTTAATCTGAAGCGTTTTTAAGAGGATTTGTTTGATTTCCTCATAACAGAGTTCGTACGATCCTTAAGAGTCCTTAAAAGTCCTTAGATTTTTTGAAATCGATTTTGGTCCTTAAAAGTCCTTAATTTTGGCCAAAATCAGCAGAAGGTCCTTAATTTTTATCATCTGAAATGTCTGTCTGTTTTTACGACTGTCATTTTGAGAGTGAATTAGCATTTTGAGGAATATTTTTGGCGAGTCACTGCCATATATATGATTATCTTTTGAATGGGTTCATGAGTTATAATTTGTTTCTATTTCTAATATGAATGGTAGGATACTCAAGTTTCTAAGCAAGAAGTGAAACATAAGCCTTTCGAAATTCTTTTTTTGTAGTAAAGAGCTCTTAAACAACTTTTTGCTTTTGGGGATGTCAATTCTTTTATTAAATGGTTCTAAATTTGGCGACTTTTCAACATTTTGGCGATTTTAAGATTAGTTTCTATAGAAACTTTTTAGTTCTGAGAATTTTTCGACGATTTTTTTTAAAACATCGTAACATTAATAAATTTCATTAAAGTAATGGTAATATATTGAAATTATATTTAAAAAATAACATTGAAATAAGACATTTTTATTTTTCGCTGTAATATTATAAAGTTTCATTTTGGCAACTTATTATACAATATTTTAAATCTGAAAAATAAACAAGGTATAATGCTATAAAGCATAATTTACGAAACAGCTTTTAGCAAATGCAAAATTAGCTATGTAATTAATTAAAAAATGTCTTCATTTTAATTTTTTCATAGTAAGAGTTTTTCCCATGTAATTGTCTCAGAATATTCAAAATTCTCAGAATGTGCATCAGTTTTCTCTATAAAATTAGTTTTATACTTTTCCCTTCTATTTTTTTCCCAAAATATTTCTGTCTTTTTGCTGTTACAGAATTGGTAGGGATAATTTTTCTTTAGAATTTTAGACATTGCAGCTTGGAAAGTTTAGAAGGATTTGAAGGCGAGATTTATAGACCCACGATTCTAGAAGGTTCGAGAAATGTATGACATAATGAAAAATGTCTCCATGGTATCAACACGTAATGGTTGTATTTTACAGAAGGTTTGCAATGAATTTCTTAATTTTTGGAGAACATCTGGAAGAACAATGAAAACGTAATATTTAAATGTTTTACTTTTGATACTAGAATCTTAACATATTTATCTTCTCTTTATTTTCTCTACTTTTCACTAGACAGATGCATGGAAAATATCAAAAATGCTTCTGAAATTATCACATGGCCAGGCATTATAGAAAGGGATTTTTTATTAATAAAGGAATTGAAAACTTACAATTTAAAAAATTCATCTAATATTTCTTAACCCCTTTGAGCCGGGTAGCGAAAACGCGCGCTTATCGCGGAGGCCGGCAGTGTCTTCCGCGAGCGTCTCTCCAGGGCCGGGGGCTTTTTTGCTACTAAGCCTAAATCCATGAAATTTTCCGAATCAACGCATTGCTTAATAATGTTCTATAAGTATTTATCGGCTTATGCTTTATAAAATTTTTATATATATCTTTAATTACCTTATTTCTTGTTTAAATGCACATTTACACATTTTATTTAATTACTCACCATTTTATGAGTTTTAACATTATACATCTGAAATAAATATATTACTTAAAATTCTCTTTTTTGTAAAGAATTTTAAACAGGATCTACACACAGTCCCTACGTTACATTGCTTGAACTTGTATAACTCATTTCCGTTTTGGAGGATTTTCGGGAATGTGAACAAACGAAGCATCGTCATCTTATTTTCTTATCAGTCTCTCTGAACAAAGTTTTGGAAAATGTCTTTCAGTTAATCTTTCAGATCAATATCAGAATTTCAGAATCATATCTGAAATATTTTGCATCATTTCTGCTATTTCATGGCTCTGTTAAACATTTTCGACGCTTCGACATTGAAACATTCACGTCTAAAAAGATCTTAATTATTTTCTAAAAACTGAACTGTAAACGAAAACTCAACGCTTTAGCACATATAACTTCTATTTACAATAAACATTACCACGTGCGATTTAAGGACATCATAAATCACGCCATTCGGAAACATTTAGTTCCCCGTTTGTTTATATATCAAAACACGTGTATGTGAGTCATGCTTCTCTCATTCGAGTAGAAAGTCTAATGTACATGTATCTGAAACCATATGGACATACAGTGCCATCTTGTGGCAGAAATTATAGTTTGAAAAACGTTCCAAGGTATTGGCACAAATACGTGACAGTCGGTAGAAAATGCAACAATGCTCTGGCACGCCTGCGTGTCGGCCGGTAGATAAGTGTATTCGTTGCTGTCACGTATACGTGACAGTTGGCGCGAAGGG